TTTAGCTCGGGTAAAAATAAAGCCGAGGCAACATGACTGCACCTTTTCCATGCCATGCGGCAATCACATTCACTTGGTGGAGCTGACTGTGGACCAAGGCAAGGTCAACTAGAAATATCCACTCCGTGGGTGAGTCAGGCAGTTGCTCAACACGGGAAAGCGCTCTAACAAAGGGTTTTTAATTTTCAGGTTGTTGCATCACACTGATGTTATAATTGCACTTCACAAAGATAAGCCTTTAACACAGAAAAGGAAATTGTTTCAAAGACTCCAGTGAGCTAGCATTCACACTCTGGGGAGAGAGAGAGATGGGGGGGTGTTACTAGCACAGCCCCCCCCTCCCGTTTTCAGGCTGGTGGTCTGGGCTGCTAATCCATCTGTTGTGCCTCTACTCCCTCACCTGTAGAATGGGGATGGTGATAGAAGGCAGCACAGTGTCAGGCCCAAGCAGGCTAAGGGGCTAGGAATAAGCTCTTCATTTTATTTAAGAATGAGCAGCATCAAGGCAATGCCGATGTTGAGTGCTAGGGCTTTTGAACCTCTCACAATTCTTAGGGAAGCCCTGCCCTGTGCAGCAGGTATAAGGCTCAACCAGATGAAATCTGTGTATTAATCAAAAAGGCCAAACATCAGCAGTTTCACAGGACACGGCCTTAGTCGTCAAGCACACAGGCTGCGCACACTTCTTCCCAGAGGGCCCATCTGTGGGGTCTAACCTGCCTCGGCTGGTCTCGGGCCACAGATGTGTAGAGATGTGGATGATCAGGCCAAGGAAAGCCGTCACAGAGAAGTCAAAGGAACTGGAAAAAGCCAGGGCTGTGTGGCACTTGTTACGTCATTCCTGCCACCACCAACTCACCTCTGTGTTCCTACCCACGCTTCCCCCAAACATTAACCCAGTGATTTCGGAGGCTCTGCAACACTGTCAAGAATTCACTTCAAACTTATATTACCAGTGAACGCAATGGCACACAGTTTTGAGAGGGGAAAAAAAAGTAATCATTATTAGAACAAAAATGTATCCCAAGAAGGATCTTTAATTATAGGCTTAACTCAAACTTCAGTCCTTACTATTATTGGACAGAGATTTAGGCAGAGAAAAATGAAGGTGACTGCCTTTATTAAAAAAAAAAAAAAAATCTGGTTCCTGGTGAATTATATGGGAACGGTTTACTGAGCTCCTCAAAACTACCCAGCCCGACGGGTCATATTCCCTCAGTTTACTCTGGACACCAGCAGAGATCACAGCAGCTCCCAAAATCACAGGCTGGGGCCTTAGGGCCCAGCTCTTCTGAGCCTGAACTCTAAGCACTCCGCCAGAGCTGGTGCCTAACTACAGACAGTGGCCTGCAGCTCAAGAGAGAAACTGATTGAGGGGCACGGATGTAGGATGTGATCCCAGAGAAACCAACTTTTCAACAAAGCAGACTGCCGGAGAACACCTGTGATGTCGCCCTGAATTCACTGCAAACCAGTTGCTGAGCACACTCTCAGAAGTCTTTATGCCAGGATGAAAGTACTGTAGTCTTACAGTAGGACAGCGGCGTCTACGTGGGCGTTTTGATTTTTGTTTTATTTTGAACTCGGGGAATTCAAGTTCTTTCTACTCTAGCCTTTGACCGCATGAAGTAAAGGTTCATAAAAAAAAAAAAAAAAGAAAAGAAAAAGAAAGACTCGACTATCGCCACAGTCAAGCCAGGCGCCCCTTTCCATCACCATTAATGCTGGAGCGTCCCCACCCCCAATGTCCGTGGTCTGTTGACATTTGGAGGTTTTCTTAGTCTTTCTAACTTCACGAATCAAGAAGCACTTGGCTCCGAAATACAATGAAGACGCCTGGAACAAAGGTGTCCGCGGTGCTCAGAAGCTCACGGGGCAAAAGGCAGGAGGCAGGCCGCTAGAACTGCGGAGCCGCCCGGCTGCCCTCTCCTTGCGACTCGCCCTGGGCGCCTCTCGCTCCTCCCCAGCTCCCCTCCCATTCCTCCCCGGCTGCGCTCCTCTCCCCTCCCTCCGCGGGGCGAATACTAAGCGCACCCGCACTCCCCGGCACAGGTCCCTCCGCGCCCCCAGCGCGGCGCCTCACCGGGACCCGCCCCCACCGGGTGGGCGGCGCAGCGGGGCCTCGGCGCTGCCAGGACCCCCTCGCCAGAACAAAGGAATGTGGGGAGGGGGCGAGGAGGCGCGCAGGCCGCCGTGCGGCTCCTGCCCAAGCGCCGCCCAGGGCGCTCCGGGGTCCCGACCCTAGGCCCCCACGCTCCGCCCCCACCTCCCAGCCCCCTGTCTCCGTCCCCCAAGAGCCCGCAAGCGGGAGGGCGCGCCCCTGGAGGTCGCGATCGGAAGGTGGCGCTACGTGTTCCCCAGCAGGCCCGGGGCTCCCTGCCCAAGCTCCAAAGTAGGTCGAGGTCTGATACCGGGGGGCCTGGAGCAGTATTAGCTTGTTGGAAAGCAACTGCAATTATTTGGGGTAATATAATTTGTTCCAGGGATGAATGTCTATAATACGCCCCCCTCCCAAAAAAAAACCCAAACCCTGCTCTTCAGTTATTTAAATGTTACGTCAGGGAAAAAAATCTGACATATACACACCATCATATACATATATTCACACATAATTACACTACCTAAGAGTGCCGGAAGAAATTTAAAATATGGGTATTATATATTCATACATATTCACAGGAATAAAACTAGGGAATCTACACAAAAAAATGCAATCCACTAACCTATATCTGTTTCCCATAAATCATATCTGGTCTGGAGAAAAAAAAATACCCACGATGTGAAATAAATACTTGTGACCTCATTCCCTGTTGTTATTTACAAAAGCCAAGACCAGAAGATGACACTTGGCCATCCCCTGCTGTTCTCAGGGAACACAGCACTTTCCTAAAGTGTCCTTTATAAAGATAAATGGGAGTCAGCATCCAGCAAATCACCGGGCTCTGCGAAATGCCTTCCTAAAAATACAATCTTATCAAAGGTCTCCGAAGGCGTAGAGTTAAAACTACAGCAAATGGCCTTGAACTTGTATTTGCACATAGCCCTAGAGAAAACACCAGAAATAGCGCTGCGAGGCCACAATTGTTAAAATGTGATAGGGCTAAATTTAGAAGAACGCACATTTCATTTAGGGCAAAAGACACACATTCGGCAGCGTGAGCTAACTCAATGCTTTACCCGGTTGTCTACTTTCCTGTTTAAAATATCCTTAAAAAAAAAAAAAAACTGTTACAGTGACATTTTAAAGGCTGAGATTGTCCTACTTTCTTTGTAGCAAGATTATAAAATCACGTAATTAGCTCCCGCTTCCTATGCTGACTGCCAGCAAATTCGGCAGTTACATAATGCAACATTTCCAGGAAACTATTATGTGATCTGTCTTGTCGTGTCTGAAAAAGCAATGACAATAAGGTGAGAAAAAGGGCTGGTGGAATGGAATACGTGAAAATCAAGAAGGTAGGGAGGTAAACGCCACAATGGTTCGTCCCAGATTTAAAAATAATAGCCCAGGACACCTAAGGGGCGAACCCCGGGAGTATCCAAGATCAGAATACAACCCAAGGAATTCTTCATGTTTTGTAGGAGTGTTGAGAAATAGAGCTTTTTATTTGGGACGTAGTATAGATATAAATAACGATCTAATATCCAACGCTGCGCTAAAATTTCCAAATCATTGCACACGTCCGTGCACATTCCCACATCTGCCCGTAACCCTAGCCAATATTTCACGGTGGACAGATTATGCAATCTGCGCAAGGACAAATCCCACAACCTTCCCGGGCGCTGGTAACACACGCTGACGACAAACAGGGTGGAAGACGTCGGTGCAGACACAGCCCCTGACACAAACAAACGCCGCGCACGCATTCTCGGAATGCCGTCACGGTTCACGCTACCAACGCTCTTTCTCAACAAGAAAATCAAGACTAGTCCCATTTACTCAGCCCCCTCCGCGCCCCCCTCCTCCCCCGCCGCCAGCCCCGCAGAAGGGACGAGAAAGGAGGGAGCGCTGCCCTTCCCGCTCGAGATGGCTCAGCCTCCCCGGCGCTCTCCTCCACCAAAATATCAATTTTCCTGAAATCAGGAGACATTATGCAACAGCAGCGGGGGGGAGCGCAAGCCAGCCCGGACTACGTGCCGGCGCGAGGGCGCTGCAATCAAAGCAGCCACCTTAAGGTGGCGAGTCCCTTCCTGACAAGGCAGCAAAAGTTTATGTAATGAATGCCCCGCGCACACTCCCCGCCGCCGCCGGCCAGCCCCGCGCACAGCCCGGCCCGCGCCCCGCGCCCGCCGGCCGCGCG